TGGTGCCTAGTGATGAACCGCTTAGAAAGTGCCAGCCCATTGGTTTTATAGGATAATTCTTCCTCTGGTGTAATATCCTGGAGCTCCTCTTGCAATGAAGCCACTCTGTTCTGGTGCATTAATGATGGGGGACTCTTGATCCAGGGTGGAGCCTGGGGGAGCTTGGGCCCCTTAGGGGCCAGAGCAGGTTTCCTCACAGGGGAACCTGGGTCCCAGGTATCATCATTGCTTCCAGTGAGCTCAAGATCTTTAAAACCAAAAAGTGTCAGTTCTGTTTCAGAAGAATGTGAAAGTGGTGATGAGGCAGTTTTGATGTCTATTTCTGAAGGAGTGGTGCAGGTGGCTGGGGAATGACACCCATCTATATCCACAGGAGGCATATTTAAGTACTGTTTAGTAGTATGCTTCCCACAGGGCGACTTTGCTGTTGTGATGATGATGACCTCTTTCCCTTTTGCCTTGCAAGCACTAAGAAGAACTTTCAGGGTCTCTGTATCTTCTGAATTTATAGCATAAACAAGAGCTGAGTAACTAGAATGGTCTTGCAAGCTGAGGTCAGCCCCACTCTTGAGGAGCAAGGAAACAACTTCAGGGCCAGCTTTTTCTAAGCAAGCATGCATCAAAGCTGTTTTCCCAGATTTGTCCTGTATGTTGGGATCAGCATTGTTCTCTAACAGGTATTTCACCATTTTGGCTTTACTGACACTCTGGTGATCCACATGTTTGGTCTTACAAGCGATCATTAAAGGGGTTTCCCCACGGTCGTTGCTCTCATTAATGTAGGCACCGCCTTCTAGCAAAAGTCTTGTGAGGCGAAGCCGGCTCTGATGGACTGCTTTGATCAAGGAATTTCCTTCACTTGAAATTTCCATACCTTCATCCATCTTCAGAGGTTAGAAATCAATACCTGATTATCAAAGATGGTAAAGACCAAAAGATTAGCCAGAATCAACATCCCAACTTATATTCATTTTGTTAGAATTAATTTTGAAAACATGTAGGGGACATAAATGGGATTATGCTATTAATAAATGCAGAACAAAATAGTGAATTGCAACATAAAATAAATTTTTGAATAGTAATGACCTTTAGGAGATTAAAAATTAAAATTTATTTTCAAAATCTTCATTGAATATTTATAACACCAACATAGTACTTTCCTAAGTCCCACATTAATTAACAAAGAATCCACCTGTGAAAAATAATTTTTAAATTAATAATATTAAAAAGCAAATTTAGGATAAGTACAGTGGCTCACATCTGTAATCCCAGCACAGTGGGAGGTTGAAGCAGGAGGATTACTTGAGGACAGGAATTTGAGACCAGCCTGGGCAATGTGTGGTGAGATTCCATCTCCACCAAAAATAAGTTTTAAAATTAGCTGGGCGTGGTGGTGTGACCTGTAGTTCCAGCTACTCAGGAGACTGAGGCAGGAGGATCACTTGAGCCCCGGAGTTCGAGGTTACAGTGAGCTATGATCATCCCACAGGCACTCAGCCTGGGTAACAGAGTGAGACCCTATCTCTAAAAAAAAAATTAATTAAAATGTAAATTTTAAAAAGTAAACTTAAGCCAAAAAGCCAAAATTCTGTTGTCATTGCAACAGAATCAATTAAATATAACATGTTTGTGGTAGCTGAATGTAAAAACTTTAGTATTACATTACTTAAACATGCTCTTCAATTAAACAATGCAAGTGATATCTAGATTTTCAATTTGAGGGACATTTTTATGTTTCTTTTGAAAGATGAAATATTGTTTGGGCTGCAACATGTTAAAATAACGGACATAATATCTGAAATCCACACTGAGATTGGAATGGTGAGCATGTGATTACGCATTTTTCTTGATTCTATTATTTAAATCATATAATGACCAGATAACAAGGTTAGCAAGAACTGTAGGGTTAAAATTTGACAACAGTGTATCTGCTCTGAAAAAGGAGTTTCATAGGCAAGAAACCTGAAAGGAGCCATGCAGACTTTGTAAACATTTTAATTTTTATTAGTGAAACTAAAAAATATTTATGTTTAATTTATTTAAATAATTTAGATTCAGACTCCTTCAACAGATAATTCCATTAGGTGGTAAGAATTATGTCTTCATCTAGGACTAAGAAAATTTTTGTCTTTTAACAGTCCTTAGAGTTGGTGGGGAGAATCAGATGAATGTATATATAATATTTAAATCTGTTTCATTGATTCAGTAGTTTTTGGAAGTTGAAAACTATTGTTTATTCTATTTACTTTTTACTTTTTTTACTATTTTACTATTTACTATTTACTTTTAAAATTAAGATTATGGGAAATGGATTTCTATTTGATAACAGAATAGATAACAAATCTAATAACAACCAAAAGAAAGAAGAGACGAAGAGAGCAGAAAGAAAGTGAAGAAAAAAGAGAAAAGTAAGCATGCAGGCAGAAATTTCATTCTTAAACATCTACAAGCTCCCGATATGTGCTGGGCACTGAGCTACAAAGACACAAGCCCCATGTCTGAGGAGCTCACAGCCTTTTGGGAGAGATACTGAATAAGCATCTGGTTTCAGAGTCAGGAGAGCCGAGAAGCTTTAACATCTTGGGGACCAAAATGGGCTTCACAGAAGCCAGCTGTGTGAGTTGAGTCTTGAAGATTTTGTAAGAATCTGGCAGGCAGACAAAGGAGGAGGGAGAAGTAGGTAATACTCCTTTTACAAAGACCTAGAGGCCTAAATAGTGGTTATTTACAAGGAAACAGGCTTTATTTACTTGGTTACAACCAAACTTCAGGAAAATATTTTAGCAGATGGTTAGGGTTAATATGGTAGAACACACACATCTAATTTTGCTTCTTCCTGAAAATCCTTAACACCAAAGAATTTTGTCAAACACATAAACTCGTAAAGATAGAGGGAAGAGGAAAAGATGGCAGCAACACTATTTTGGAAGCCAGAAAGCAGATGAGCCAGTAGTAACTGACTCAGCTTGTGTGTGTGTGTGTGTGTGTGTGTGTGTGTGTGTGTGTGTGTGTGTGTGTGTGTGAGGAATACAGCTAAAATAAAGAGGAGTAGGTGAAAAGCTGTTAGATAAGCAGTTAGAATTCCTAGGTCCTTGCTACTTGAAGTGTGATCCTACCCTGGCATAACCACCACCAGAAAACTCATTTGATATGCAGAATGTCAGACCCCACCCCAGAGCTACTGAATCAGAGCCTACATTTTAACAAGATCCCCAGGTGATTTGCATGCACATTAAAGTTTGAGAAGTGCTGCCTTAGGTCACTCCTCCAGCTCCCAGTCACTAGGAGATGCAAGACTGCCCCTCCGGTCCTCCCGTCCTACGGGCTGTCTAGAGGTTTATTCTCAGGAAATGATAAAACAGAGCATCTCTGGACCGGGAGACACCAGCATGTTTGAGAACAAGAAAGCAGGGGAATAAGTGATTGCTTACTGACCACTGCTGAAGGGGGCCACAGCCTGCTTCCCCACCTTGGCTTCGAGGAGGCCGGCAGCCATACCCTCACCCCTGAGGGATACATTGATTGCTATGGCGTTCTCTCAAGAATCTGACATGCCACCCAGGTTGTACTACAGTGAGGCTTACAGGTGACAAGCCTCATTTGTGTGCTTAAGGCTTCTCATCAGCTTTTAATCCCAACCCTTTAATCATGAGCAGCCACAACAAAAATTTAAAAACAAACAAAAATGCCTCTTACATTAAAGATAGAGACTAGAACAAATTGAAAAAAGCAACTTGCAGGAAACGTATTAATCAGAAAAATGAAAAGATGAGAAATTGAAAAAGATGAAAAATGAAAAGCTTTTGTCATACACTAGCAATACTGTCTTTATTTACCTAATTTTGTACCTGCTACTAAGTTTTTTAAAAATAAACAATTATTTTACTTAGGGATCAAATATAAGGGGCACCTGAAAATTTTTTTTTAAAGCAAAGGGAATGATTAATACAAAAGTCAACAGAAAGCTACTCCTTGGTAGAGATTAGGAGAATAATGCCTTTTGGGAGGGACACAGAGAGGCCCAAAGGTTCAGGTGATGTTCTATTTCCCAGTCTGGGTGATGCATAGGTGGGTGTCCATTCTATTCTTCTTCTTTAAAAGTACACATTTCACATACTCTTCTGTATATCACTCTTATTTACTTATTGTGAAATAGAATGTGTGTGCAGAAAAGAGCATAGCATATATGTAAGATATACTTCATTATTAAAATTTACAAAGAGTCCTATTAGGTCTTCCTTTTAAAAGAGTAATTCAGTTCTCATGACATTATCGATGACATTTATGCCTTGACTTTCAACTGGAGTTTCAACTGACTAAGCTCCTGAAAGGCAGTATTCAAAAGGACATAGAATTCATCTCCACTTCAGTATCATTCATGGTGCAAAGCAAAGAACTACTCAATCTGTACATACATAAATACAATGAGAGTGAATGCTTTCATTTTATGTTCCCCGTGACATACTCTATAAAGGCTATCTTGGAGCCACACATACCTGCAAGTCAGGGACTTAGGAATTTGGGATCAGTTGACTGCTTCGGTCTCAACTCAGAGGTCTATTCTGAATGCAAAGCATCTGAAAAGAGCTCACATGAGACAGTGATCACAAAAGGATCATTTTTAAAGCATTTTTCATATATAAATGGGCTTAATAGAGCATAGAAATGTAGAGAAATGAGCTGGAATGTAATATCAAATATAGAAACTACTTAGTAATTGCAATTCAATTGCTATACAGTATCAGTCATTTAAAAAATTATTTGACAAAAAGTAGCATTTGAGAAACAGATATTCAAACGAGAACAAGTTGTCAGATACCAGATGTCAATATTATATTGTCGTATAGTTTCTAGTATTTAGGTCAATCTTGTTTTTATTTTTTAAAGTCTTAGCAGAATCTTTGGGGGAAGATATTTTACTTACTTTTTTTTTTAATACTTATTTTATTTTATTTTTTTTGGCACAGGGTCTTGCTATATTGCCCAGACTGGTCTTGAACTCCCAGCCTCAAACAATCCTCCTGCCTCAGCCTCCCAAAGTGTTGGGGTTACAGGCATGAGCCACCATGGCCAGCCAAGGCTTTCTACTTTTCAGCCATCCTCAAGTAAAGGCCTTTCTCCACAACACTAAACCTGACCGCTTGCTGTCACAGCTTTTCTTTCACCAAGGTTGGTGTCAGGAGGTTCTGGGAGAAGAAGAGGAGCTGCTACTATGCTGGCAACTACCATGCCTAAGGAGGACAGTGGCCCCATCACAGTCTTGTGGAAAAAGAGGGTGCTGTGGGCTTCAGGGTCTCAGAGAAGTTGAGCAGTGGCACCAACTTGCTGCCTAATCCACCTGCAGTGTGGACATAGGCAGACCCTCTCCTCTGAGGACTCGGGGAGTGTCCAGCAACACCAACCTCATGAGGTTGACTCTTTCCTCATTCTAAAGATTTTTAAAGCCACTTTGTTTGCTCACTTCTTTTTTTTTGAGATGGAATTTCGCTCTTGTTGCCCAGGCTGGAGTGCAATGGCGCCATCTCGGCTCACTGCAATCTCCGCCTCCTGGCTTCAAGTGATTCTCCTGCCTCAGCATCCTGAGTAGCTGAGATTACAGGCGTGTGCCACCATACCCTGCTAATTTTGTATTTTTAGTAGAGATGGGGTTTCTTCATATTGGTCAGGTTGATCTCGAACTCCCGACCTCAGGTGATCTGCTCACCTCAGCCTCCCAAAGTGCTGGGATTACAGGCGTGCGCCACCGCGCCCAGCCTGTTTGCTCACTTCTTAACATTTAGTAGATAACTTTTGAAATTGTCTAAACATTAAACTTGTCAGGGAAAAAAGGTGCCAGATACTTTATTCTCCAAATGTTCAGGTTCTTTCTGTAATCAGTACCTGAATGGAAGAACCCCCTTCTCTTTAGCCCTTCATCCTTTTCTGGGGGTTCTTTTATCTTGTTTTCTCCATTTGTGCATCAAAAACACTGATATTTATGTCTGACTTATTTCCTTTTCACAGAGTCCAACTCAACTTTTGATGAGGACCACTTCTGTTGCCTAGAACGTTCTTTCCTCCTGGAAGCATCCTGATTGGACACTGAGTGCTGAGAGCATACTAACATCCAGTCAATCCCTTTGTTACGTCTAGACTATAAGCAATCCCCAAATTCAGTGGCACCTTCTATATAGATAATAGTTCAACTGCAGAAAGTTCAGGCATCTGACAGGGGTCAATCGTGACTCCCACACTTACTGGCTATGTGCCCTGATCAAGTCTCTCAGCCTCTAGGAGTCTTGAGTTCCTCACGCGTGGAATGACAATCATGGAACATGCATTCCATGGGGATGTGGTAATGAAATCAGACAATGTCTAGAGAAAGACTTTCTTGTTTTGTCTTCATACTCACTGCATTCTTCTTTTTAAAATGTTTATCTCAGAATTAGCTTTTTGAAAAGTTTATCATGTCTCCAATCCACAACCTATTTAAAATAACAGATAAAATATTGGAAATGTTGTTTTTTTAAGGATCTCATATTTCTAAGATACAATGCTTCTTCTCATTCTGTAAACATCAGTAGAATCTAATAAGCAAAACATGGAAAGAGCATATCCTTTAAGTGTACTTTCCTTACAATTTCCAAATACTATCATTTTGACATTATTACAAGATATTAATTATTAAACCGATGGATAAACTGCTTTTCATTCAAAAATTACAGTGTCTTTAATATCACTTGCACCTCATGATGGCATATTTACAATGCTCCTTTAGTTCCTCCCTCTATGCCCAAGATGCCACCAAAATTATAAGCATTGAGTTATTTTTTAAAAATATTTTAAATATGTATATTTTTAAGAACAAAGAAGGGGCCGGGCGCGGTGGCTCAAGCCTGTAATCCCAGTACTTTGGGAGGCCGAGACAGGTGGATCACAAGGTCAGGAGATCGAGACCATCCTGGCTAACACGGTGAAACCCCGTCTCTACTAAAAAATACAAAAAACTAGCCGGGCAAGGTAGCGGGCGCCTGTAGTCCCAGCTACTCGGGAGGCTGAGGCAGGAGAATGGCGTGAACCCAGGAGGCAGAGCTTGCAGTGAGCTGAAATCCGGCCACTGCACTCCAGCCTGGGCGACAGAGCGAGACTCCATCTCAAAAAAAAACAAAAACAAAAACAAAGAAAATTGGAGGAGAGATACCATTAGATAAGCAATTTCAAACAGGCTCTGGAAATGGGGGAATGGTGGAGTGGCAAATGGCCTTAGCATGGCAGAGGAGGCTGCAGGACACAGACCCAGGGAGGCTGCTTACCCACAGGACCTGTGACATTTAGGACTTAGAGGTTCCAAGTGCCATAGAAAATGGCAATGAGTAACAGGGCTTAGAACAAGAAGACGGTTGAAAGTCTGTGGACAGAACTCCTGGATCCCCATGTATTTTATCCCAGCCCAAGTAGCAGACAATCACTTTCCTAGGCAAGAAAACAAAGATTTATTTTCTAAATTGATCAGAGAGTCTTCAAACTTAGAGGCAGCTTGCTGAAAACAGGGGTTCAGTGAGCATGTGCAGGCCAAAGGATGAATTCCTCAGCTCCCTGCCCTGCTACAAGGGGACTGGAAGCCAGGAAAAGAAAGTAAGGCACATTGCATCTTGGAAAGATGAGCCCTATTAAAAATATCTGTTGATACATGAAAGCAATTCAAACCATAACTGCATTCACCCTTCCAGACACCCACTCTAGATGGAAATAGAAAGTTACCTGAAAACATTATTCAAAATTTCATACTTCACTTTTGTCTCTTCTCTCCCTGGATGAGTTTTCTGTCAGCCAGCTGTCAGTTCCTACTGAAGGAAATCAAAGCTATTCAGAGTTACATAAACACCAATAACTTGTTACATGCATCTTTCCCATTTGGAGTCTAGTTTTTAAATTCCTTATTAAGAAATCCCTACAATGTTTGCTCAGTTAGTCATATCTCACTGATTATGAGTTTGTAAAATGTCTGGAGATTCTATGCACAGCAACCCTGTGTGTGTCTGCCTGCAGGGCTGAGTCTGCTGCGCAAGAACTGCTGGGGTTGGAAGGGCCTCGGCACTCACTTGGTGCAGATGAGGAGGCTGAGAAAGGAAAGGTGAGGGCACTCTCCCAAAGTCAATCATCTTACTCACCTGCTTGCCAGAAGTCAATTCATGTTTGTGTCCTTTATCTCAATATCGCCTTGCTTCTTGGATGGCCAGCTTCCCACGGAGTAGGACTCCGTTTTGACGGCCTGATTTGTGTGTTATCTCACATGGCAGTGCTGCATGAGCTGAGATGCTTGCAAAGCCATCTTGGAGATGATAGACCATGGCCTTTTTGTCCCCATGCCACCCCCAGTTTTCCTTTCTTAAGACAGAAAAGTGGCTGGGCATGGTGGCTTATGCCTGTAAACCCAGCACTTTGGAAGGCTGAGGGGGAGCGGATCACCTGAGGTCAGGAGTTTGAGACCAGCCTGGCCAACATGGTGAAACCGCATCTCTACTAAAAATACAAAAGTTAGCCGGGCATTGTGGCGGGTGCCTGTAATCCCAGCTACTCAGGAGGCTGAGGCAGGAGAATCACTTGAACTCAGGAGGTGAAGGTTGCAGCGAGCCGAGATTGCACCACTGCACTCCAGCCTGGGTGACAAGAGCAAGACTCTGTCTCAAAAAAAAAAAAAAAAGAAAAAAGAAAGAAAAGTTATTTTCCTTTGAGCCTTTCACTCTGCCTCCAAATAGGATCCACGCTTCCTCTCATAAAGTTCATCATCTGGCCATGGTGGGGTAGAACTTAACAAATGGGTTTGAACTCAAAATTCAGCCCATCGCCCTTGCCTCGGTCCCTGCCTATGCGCTCCCCAAAGGCAATTAGAGACTGCTCAGATGAGGCAGCAGGGGGCATATCAGGGTCCTGGGCTCCAGCTCTCTCCAAGTTACCAACCTCTGAGAAGTCATTCTTAGCCTTAGTTTCCTCACCTCTAAAATGGGCACAATATCTACTTTACAGTAGATGATTGTGAGGATTTTAAGATCCGAACACACTTGCTACTTAAGAATTCAATGAATGTCCATTTATAAACATGCATCACCAAATATAGGCACTGCATACAGGAATCCTCAGGGCTGGTGGGGTCTGACAATGGGATGCTAGGTTCCCTATACCAGCGGGTTCTCCTTTTGTGAGCATAAGAAACACATGGAGCGCCTGTTAAAAAGAAAATTCTAGGCTCCACTCCCACATATTCCATGGGAGATGCTTCTAATGCACACTTGGAGAAAATCTGAGGCAAATTCTTCATTCCTCATTCCAGGCCACTTCCTGTTTGCTATAGACCCCTGCCTCAGATTCACACAGAACTGTCTCCGTCATTACTTCCAAGTGGTATGATTCTCAGCTCCCCTGCAGGAGTGAAAGGCAGAGACAGATGGCTGCCACAGCCTAGAGACGGGTCCAGGGAGCTCACAGGTCCCAGAGAAGACGACAGCCTTGAATTAGTAGAATGGGCCAGGAGCCGGAGGTTTGCTGCCCTGCCTTTCCTAGACGGGTTTGAAAAAAACCCAGAGTCCTAGTGGACAGCCAAAGGCCAGGAGGGAGGCCAGCGGCACTGGAATAAGGCAAGCCTGCCTGCCACAAGCAAATGTGTATCTCCTCCCCACCCAAGGAAAGGGACAGAGACAGAATAAAAGATGCATCTGAGGTCGTCCTGGAAAATGGAATGACTGGCCAGAAAAAGATTCTTCCCTGGTATTGACTTGCAAGAAATATTTCGAAACCGCCCAAGGAGACGGGTAGCTGGTAAGGTTTGCTGTGTTTCCCACACATACCTCCAAAGGGCTGTTGTGTTCTCCTAGTTACTTCGGCTGTGCCCCAGGCCTTTGGGGCATCTATGCCTCAACCTCTGTTACTGATTCACCTCCCCCGCCAACACACACACACACACACACACACACACACACACACACACACACACACACGAGAGAGAGAGAGAGAGAGAGAGAGAGAGAGAGAGAGAGAGACAGAGACAGAGACAGAGAGACAGACAGAGAGAGAGAGAGAGAGCGCAACCTACTCCTCCAAGTCTCAGGGAACCAAGGCGATGGGATTTCCAAGCTGTTGAGGATGCTAGCAGTCTCCGCGGTCTCCGCCGACCCCTGGAACCAGGCGCGTTTCCTCAGTTTTTCCTGAGAGCAGGAGGAAGCGAGCTCAAGGCGCTGTCGGAGAAGGGCAAAGGAAGGTGACTGGGGAGACAGCGCCAGGGCACCGATGGGGGCGGGGTGCGCGTTTCGTCGCCTCATCTCTGAGCCAGGGCAGGCAGCTGGCGGGCTAAGGCGATCACCATCCACGAAAACGGGTTCTGCCCACAGCCGCTGCGGAGCGGTCCCTGCGCCGCTCGCCCGCCCGCCGGACGCGGCCCTCCCTTGGGAAATGGCGCGTCTGAGGGGCGCAGCCACGGCCCCCATCCCGGAGCAGGCGCACCTCTGCACCCGCCTCTCAGCTAAGGGGGTCCGGTATCCTGGTGCCAAGGCTGTGCGCGCCTGAGAAGCGCGGGGACCAGCTGCCCGCCCCTGTGCTTCCAGAGCCAGAGGCTGCAAACGGCTCCGCAGTCCCCAGCCAGTCCCCAGCGCCCAGCCGGCACCTCCTGCTGCCCAGCTGCCGAGGCACCTGCGGAGACGCGCCCAAGTCAGACCCTCCGACCCGCGCGCTCCTGCGGCCCAGCGCGCGCCGCTCCCTCTGCCGACCTTCGCCCGTCAGGCTCCCGCCCCGCGTCCTCCTCGACCGCCCCCGGCCGGGCAGCCCTCGCCGGTTCCCGCCGCTCGGCGAGGCTGAGGAGGCGGAACCCGCATCCCCGCGGAGTCCAAGCCCCAGCGGCCGCAAAACTGGAACCGAGAACCAGCGGGAACGGCAGGAAGCGCGAGGGTGAGCTCGCGTGGAGCGCGCCCCGGGGTGGCGGGGCAGAGTCTCTCGGGAGGCCCCTGCAGCCCGACGGCCCTCGGCTGGCCCTGGGTCTCGCACCCTGCTCTGGGCACTGCATTGTCAGGGTGCGCGGGAGGTGCGGGCTTCAGGGGCCTGCGCGCACCGGGCAGGGAGCATTGAGGTCGTGCGGGCCGCTGGGTCCCACGCTGCGCCCTCGATGTCCTCCTCCCGGCAGCCGCCACTGCAAGCCGAAGTTTCCCAAGTGCAGCCGGCAGGCACGGCGCCTCACACTGACCTGGGACGCGCTGTCGAGTTGGCGGCGGCGCTTGCAACCTCCCTCTGGCACTGCCCGACCCTCTGTGTGGTGGCCCTAGGGCACCGTCCGAGGTGAGCTGTGGTCTTCTGCTCCTCGGCGGTTCGAATCGCAGATCTCGGAGATGCCGCCCCGTCCCCGCCCTGCTCGGCAGAAAGAGGTGGGCGACTGCTGCGAAGCGCTGGAGCTGGGACGCGGAGGGCGCACCTCGCCAGACGCCCTGGCAGCGCGGCGCTTCCGTTGGGGGTGACGCGTCGGCTCCCGGCTCTGCGCAGGTGAGGGCGGCAAGGCCACTCTGGACCCAGAGGGGCCAGAAGCTACTGGAAGCTACGCCTTCTGTCCCTGTAAGTCCCACCCCCGTCCCCCGCTTCGGCCACCGCGCTTCGGCCACGGCGACTTGGTCAACAACAGCGGCAGCAGGGTCTCCCCACTGAGGGAAGTACGCACCCCTACGTCACGGG